CCCGCATAAAGCGGCCGCATCCCCCAAACCCGCCGTCACAAAACAGCATGTCGCCCTTGCTGATTCTGGCTACTACGGCAGCCAGGACATGGACAACATTGACGACGATGAAGACGACATGGACGTCGATCTTATCGAAGACGATACCCAAATTGCCGACGTTCGATCCAGCCCTCCCAAGACCGCCGGAAAGAGCGGTCACGTCGCCTTCGAGACCAACGATGAGGAGAACGCGCCACCGAGTCCGACCGTAACGAGGACAATGCGCTCACCTGAAGTCACATTCCAAACTGCAAAGGAGGAGCAGACGACCCGAGTGATGAGGGATATCACAATGGAAGCCGCAGAGGAAACTTCCGAGTCACCAGCTCCTGACAGTCAGGCCAAGGAGACTGAGGTCGCTACGTCTCCCATCAGATCCCCCAAGCCTCGAGCTGCGAAGAGCGTCTCACCAGTCAAGACGTCGCCAGTCAAGACCTCACCTGTCAAGCGCTCCCCAGCCAAGGAAGCCTCTCCCGCGCCATCCCCCGAAGCCGCGCCATCGCCCTCGCCTGCTCCTACACCAGCTGCCGAGACTCAGGAGGACGTGGACGTCCACCTGGACGAAGACACCCGATCACCGTCCGTTGATTCAAGCCCGATTCGCCCTGTTAGGAAGAGCAGTCTCAACTTCGCTTCGCTACCTGCCAGAGAGCCTTTGAAGAACAAGAGCCTCGGACCTCGAGTGTCAAGGACAAGCCATCTGGATAACCACCGCACAAGTTATTATGGTCGACACACTGGTGGAAAGAGCTTGGGCAACAACATGGACGTTCCCAGCGCTTCAGAGGATGAAGAAGACGAAGATGCTGATGATATGGACATCGATCCTGTGACGGATGCGGCAAAGGAGGAAGACAGCTACGCGTCTACCCACAACAAGGCGTACACTCAGCGCTTGCAAGATCAAATCAACATGCTGGGTAAATCTCAGCCTAATGCCACCCGCCCTTCCAAATCGATCCCGAGCTCCGCAGTTGCCCAGCAGCTTGCTCAGGCAACTGCACAGCCAGCTCCAGAGACTAGACCAGCGTCACCAAAGAAGTCTTCAGCAGCACCACCAACACCTGGCGCGTTCCCAGAAGACGACGAGGAAGACGACGATGACTGGATTGCACCTCCTGTTCCTGCGAAGGACGCCCCAGCTTCCCCTCTCCGACCGCGTCTGCCTAAGAGTCACACCGCCGATGTCATGGAGGGCATTGATGGCACTGACACTGTCAGCGGTTCGGATTTTGCTTTCCCCAAGCAGAAGGAAACACTTGGCCGGCCTGGTTCTCCGAAACGGGCCCCTGTCGTGCCTGATCGTACCACTAGCTCACATGGCCATGGCAAGTCTGCTTCAGTTTCCGCCTTGCCTGATCTTTCCAAGGACAAGATGGCCGAAGACTTGGTTCCTTCCCAGAAGCACATTTCCGTCTCCAACCCTCTGTCTGTCGTGCCCGAGGATGGACGGCCTGCGTCTCCCAAGTCGCCGACCAGAAGCTTCCGAGACAGCCCGCTGAAGCAAGTTAAGAACAAGCTGTCTTCCATTCTGAAGACTTCGAAGGGTCTTCTTGCTAGCAGTGCGGCCATCAGCGCCGAGGGCAAGTCCTCCATGATGTCACCCTCCACGGTACGACTCGGGTTTCATTCCGAGTCGTCTACGGAATCTATAGTTCCCCAGTCCATCTCAGCAGAGCCGCTGTACCCCGACTTGTCAAAACATAGGACAGTTGACTCTCAGGCGACAGCCACTACTGGAAGCCCCGAGCGCCCTGTGGCCCGGAGAACAAGGGCATCTGTCGAGAAGGAAAAGGAGGACAAGCGCAAGGAGAAGGAAGCACGATTATTCGCTGACCAGATGAGCAAGCTTGACAAAGCCAGGGCTGAAGAGCGAGAGAAGGCCCGGGTCTTCAGTGAGGAGCAAGAGAAGATTGCGGCAATGGAGAAGAAGATCGCCGCCCAGAAAGAAAAGGAGAAGGAGAAGGAGCGAGAGAAGGCCGTCCGGACACCGGCACCTAAGGAAGCGCCAAAGCCTACGAGGACCAGCCCACGGAAGGCCAAGAACCAAGCCGAGACCGATACCTCTGCTCCTGCTTCACAGCCAGAGAAGCCAGATGTAGAGATGGCCGAGGCGTCAGCCCCTGTGCCGCCCCCTTCAGCCTCTCGATCCGCCGGCCCGGGCCAGGCGACGAGGAACAGAGAACTCCGCCGCCCTACGAAGCCAACGAAGGAAACTGCCAGCAGGGCGAAGCAGCAACCGACCGTCATTCGTGTTAACACTACTTCTCAGCATTCTCAGTATCACCCAAGCAATAGCCAGCTGTCTTCAAACTTGGAAGGAACCCTTGGTTCATCTACCAAGCCCAAGTCACAGCCCAGCTCGCATAGCAAGCAGGCGTCGGTGAACAGCTTCAAGAGCTCCGCTGGGTCAACTGGGCGACCAAAGGCCCTTGAACTTGCTGCCAAGCGCAAGGAGCAAGAAGAACGAGATCTCCAGAAGAGAAAGGAGGCCAAGCTTGAGCTCGAACGCAAGCGCGCTGCCATGCAAGAAGAGGAGCGCAAGCAGGAGATGCAACGGCGACAGGATGCCGAGAGGCAGAGAGAACAGACCGAGGCGAAGAAGAGGCAGGCTGCCATTGAGCGTGCCAAGCAGACACGAGCTCCGCCTCCTGCCGTCCGAGCTCAGCCCAACGGCCCTGTTGATTATTCCGCAAGCCAGCGGAGCGATGGACCTCCTACGCGTCCGCCCTCGCGTCTGCAATCGACTATGCCTCGATCTCAGGAGGATCGACCGGTCAATACGATTCTTTCCAACGCGTCGAAGGCCGGGTCCAAGCGACCACTCCCGCAAGACGAGGACAGCCGCAAGCCTGCCCGCAATGGGCCTTCGTACCAGGCCAAGGAAGCCAAGCGGAGGCGTACTAGTGACGACTTCGCTGATGAGCTTGATATGGACATCCAGCCCCCGAATATCAAGGGACCTCCCGTTCGGCCCCCGTCAGTTGGCTTCAAGAAGGTTTGTCCTTCTCATCATCCAACACAGATTCTAGCGGTAGCTAACAGACACAACCAGGAGATGCCCAAGCCAATGTACTCCACTGGATACAGCAACGGCCCACAGAGCGCGTCGAGAGATTTGTTCAAGGGCGTTGTCACGGCCCAGCACAACAGCACGGTCAAGGCAACCAAGCAACTGGATATCAACCAGTTCGCCAAGGGAGAGATTCCGTTCAATCCCAACCCTAACCCTGCTGGCCCGGCGCACAAGACCCCGGCTCGGCCCATGGCTGCCGCAAGCACCAAGACAGCAACAATTAAGAAGTCTGCTACGCGGTCGTCGCCCCGATTCCAAGACGGCGAAAAGATTGAGCTGCCTGAAATCGATACTGATCCTGAGGATGAAGATGAGAACGACGACTTCGTGGCGCCTTGGGCTGATTCACCCGACCTGCGCCGAGCTCTCATGCGACAAGAGACTTTGGATCCTCAAGGCATCTTTGGCCCTCCTCGAGCCTTGAACATGGAAGAAGTATTTAACAACAGCAAGGAGAGATGGCACAAGTTCCGCGCCCGCACATCTAGTGCAAACTGGAGCGGATCAGACCGCTTGACGGAGGATGAGATCAGGAAAGATATTGCGGCTCGCAATAGGCTGCGCAAAGACGGTGGCTGGTCCTATGAGATGAGCAAGGATTTGAGCTAAGCGCCATGTGTGGTTTTTAGGCGTTGTTATCGTGTATCAGGGATACAGCTGTGTTGGAGACACATGCGAACGCGCTCATGAGGACATTAATCTGCGGGCAGGATCGGATGGGTGCCAGGGAGGCCACAGGGCTATAGCATTGCGTGTGCGTATCATTCATTGCCGTAAAGGCAATACTGTGTTAAAGGACTTTATTTTTGATTGCGGGCGTTTGGAAGGCAGCATAAAGCATTGGTTTTCGAAGGCAATATTTTTCGCAGAATGAAAAGACATGCATTTCTGAGCGAGACCGATTTTACTTGCATGAACAACATATTACAGTATTGTCGAATGGAAGCTGACGCCATTTGCCGAGCCACTGATGGCGCTCGGGATGCATAGATGGCTGTTCTATGACCGGGATGTCCGCTCCGTTGGCGGAGCAACCACGGCGCGTAGACACGCGTTTTGGTCTGTTCGGCGGGGGCGGGGCAGAACCGAGCCATCAGTCTTGGCGGGCCTTGACTGGTGACTCCTTGTGTTGATTTGTTAAGCTGGCATTGAAAACTGCTATGCCTGATATGATTGAGGCCCATCCGCTTCGCGTTTTTGCCATGGCCGTCTCCTTTGTTATACACTCCCTGCCTTTCCTTGAACGTTTTAATGCGATATCGTCCTTGCTTTCCAGGACAGCGTCTCTGACCGTCCATCATCTGCTATTGCTATCTCTTTACTAACAAACAAGCCTGGCTGTTTACTCTTGAAGCCTAGCTCCGGAAAAATAAATGGCCGCGCAACCTGGGTTGTGCCTCTGTATGCTTGGCTATGGCTGTCGAGAAGGAAGAAGCACGAACAAAAGCCCCGTTGCGACCACGAAGCGTTTCTCTTCGTTCTCATCCTGTACTTCTTTGCTAAATTCAGGAACTTGGCCGTCTGTTATAAGTTTGGTCCTGTATAGAATGCTAGATATCTCGGCGCTCTCGGACATCTGAGCAATGGTGTGCCAGGCGTTGTTAGGTATGCTAAATTCCGTCGTCCTGAAGAGAACGCAAACGTTGATGGAGATAATAGCGAATACAGTGATACTTGCCATTATGATGCAGTACCCTCGATGACGAACTGGCACTGTTGCAACTTCGAAGGTCGTGATGGTGATGTTTTCCTTTGCAGTAGGCGGGAAGAAACTGATAAAACGATGGTACATCACCCGCGTTTTCGTGAATTACACAGCCTGCAATGCACGTGCAGGAGATCCCGTGTCATTTATGACAGTATTCAACAAATTGGCGTACAATCAGTGAGCTTGTGTCATGTTCTTGTGGGGTTCGCAATTCAGGCAGAACGAAAGCGGCCTGTCGAGCGACTGGCCGTAGAGCCAATCATCAGCCAATGCATCAACTTCGCTGTATTCTGTCAAAGTCACTCTGTTACGAGTGTTACTCAGAGAAGATTTGAGGCTAGCCGAGCTGATGTGCATAATTTGACGGTCCTCAGGCGACGTTGAGTTCGAAGCAGCTCCAAGTTGTACGCGAACATCATACCATCCACGTTCATGGCCTCCTCCATGAATAACTGGACCAACTTCATGACATCGAACGTCTGCGTCAACCACATATTTGCCTTGCTAGATAGAACAGAATGGACTGTGTTATTGCCAGTGCCATTCAAAGCTCGCCTGTGCAAACGACGGCTACGTTCATTCCCGGAGGACGTGGGATCCTTATACATGTCCAAGAAGTTCCCCGCATCCCAGAACAAAAACATGCGGCGCAGTGCGGGTACACCAGAGGTATCAAGACCGTGGCCAATTTTCGTCCAGTTGGCGCGGACATCCAGCGGACAAACCTGCCAAACCTGTTCTGGTTTGGCAAACCCCGAAAGCGAACAGGAAAAGTTACCTGTGCCAGCCCGTGAAGGCTCTGCACCAAGAGAATCCTCTAGTGTGAGCCCATCTACTCGGGCAGTGCCGCATAAGGTTATATTCGGGGTGTCTTTTCTAAAGTGACAAAAGCTGAGGTTGGACACTTCTGGGCGTATGCAGGTCGCTCTCGTTTCCACAACCCTGGAATTCTTGCAGTGTCTCCCTTGCTTGTACCGAAACTAGAGGAAGAAAGGGTCGAATGGTTGAGCCTGTGTCATCAATCCCCTCGTCTGTTGCAGGGACTCCAGTGTCCTCAGCAAACGTCTATGATAGGTAAGGTGGCTCTTGCCAGTCGTTGCTAGACCGTTGAGCTTTACCAAAATTATACGTGTCACTCTCGTCGGCGACTTGTAGGCTGCGATATGCATCAGAAGGGTGCCTAGGAAACGAGATTATGCGACTTTCATCAAGGTCTGCTAGCAGTAACGTTGATGTGAACTGTGCGCAGGTATTCGAAAGGACGAACCCGATAAGGAATATTCGAATCAAAGGCACCAAGATGCAATTCCGAAGAGCCATGGCGGCTAGAGATGCTGAGCCACCACTCATGAAACATACAGCGGATATTTGAGCGATTGCATGTAGACGCACGCCATGTCGCTCAACTGCCAGGGAAGCAATCATGCTGGTGATGGAGGCGGCAATAGTACCCATAGCGGCCCGAGTGGACTCATATGATTCTGAGATAGTAAAGTTCCAATGAGATTCAACCTGTGATATTGGTCGTTCTTCGGGAGGTCTTCAAATATCGAATGGATGCATTATACGACTGAAAGGCATGCGGAGGGCAAAGGCCAGGGTAAAATAGAAATCCATCCTCGGCGAAGTTGTGTGTGCTGCACACCCGTCGCACAAGAACAGGGTGGTGGGTGGTCACCGAGCACGAGCGAAGCCTGCAATCTGGAAGCAGTAGTTTTCTAGCGTTACCACATCAAGAGCCTGATTTGTGAGGTTCGGACTGCATACGCTCTGTGTTCGCTAGATTAGCTTGTTGCAAACTCTTGGCTCCGGGCAGTCATCTGTGTCGCTAGACCACAACATGTCATGCAGTACTCCCGATGCCAACTTATATGAAGTGACAAACACTGAGCAGAGCCAATGCTCGAAACTAGACTTCCGGAGACGACATTACCGGGCTCATGTTAGGGTGGACGGTGTCTTGCCTGGCCCTTGTTAGATGATGGGGGTACAAAATCGGCCATTCATGGTGCGGGTGTCTGATGTAGTCGGGAGGCTGGCAGGCGAAGTGGCTTGACTTGTCGAGTCCCGTCGTTAGCTTGAGGCGCGGCTCATCACGCCTCCCGAGATCACCCCGCTAGAACGGTGGCTTAGCGCACCGGTACGGTCGCAAGTGTTAAGGCAGGTCTGGTTTAGGCCATCGAGCTGGTAGGTATCCACATTCGGAGGTTCAGGTTGAAGCAAGGCGACCCTATTGACCATAACGATGGCACGAGGGGCAGCTGGAATGAGCGAGCTGAGGCGTCCTTTCAGGGCTGGTGCGGATAGAGGGGCAGGCAAAGGAACAACGGCTGGGGTTTGCCGGGGAGTCCCTGAAGGGACTGCTAAATAAAAATTTGGACCCCTGCCCCATTGACCCTCTGCTGCCCGCGCAACCGAACGGACAGGAAGGACGGACGGGCCGTCAACAAGACTTTACTCTCTGTGGAAGAAAAAGGTAAAGCAGGCCAAGTCGCAGTCAATATTTGCTTCTTCGCTTTCGCAAATCCTACCTAACCCAGCTGATGAGGCTCTCGACTCTCCTTTTTTGACGACCCGCGAACCTCTTTTCTTCTTGGACGACGTCGACACAGCGTCGTATCACGTCTTCCCCGCCATCAGCCGTCTCGTCTGCTCGCCTGTTGCCAGACCACGCAGTCCCCCTCGGCTTTGCATCTACGGCTGCTTTTTGACGTCATTCAGTGAGTTGCCCTCCCACGACAGGTCGCATGCGCGTCCACCCAATCAATTCTGCACCTACCTACCCTGAGAAACCGACGACGAAAGACGGCGAGGAGCCAACCACTGCCGGCGCCTTAGTCTACTGCCGTCCTTGCCTCCGACTGGCTGCTGCCCGCTTCGTTTACCGTCGGATGCCCTTGTCTGCACATCGTCGGACCGCTACCTTCGCTCCCCCGCGGTGCCTGGCTCCGTCATCTAGCATCGACGCCAATCCTTGTTGCTATCTGCAGTTTTGCGAGACATAACAGACTGCTAGACTCGCGGTGTCGATTGTCCCTCCTTCCCGGTTGTGGCGTCCATTTGGAGACTGCTCGCCCGCTTATTGCACGGCTGCTTATCCTCGTCTGACACGTCTGATTCGCTTTGCACGATACCTCTCACTCGCGCATACCACCAACGTTCCGTTGCAAGCTGCTCGTCTTGTGACATGACTGCTGACACACTCGCTACCGCAGTTCTCAACTCGTCTGCACCTTCCCTCATCTTCCACGACCAGCGATCGCACTTGACAATCATTCAACGAGGTTGCCTCCTTACCAGTTGCACCGCCTCACCTCGTCCACGCAGACTTGCAGTTGCGCTACTCCGCACTACGAGGCGAAGCCACCTGCAAGCGGCAACGTCACGCCTGCGACTTCGCCTTCCCCAACGCACCCTCTGCCAATAGCTTGCCAGCCACGAGCACTCGAACCAACGAGCTGGATCCTAACTTGGGCGGCTAGGAAACTTCAACAAAACGCGCTCCTCAGCACGACGTTCACATCGTTTCCATACACGACGACCGACCTTGGGATGCATCTTGCGCAAAATCAGGCAGCCTTCATACCTTGCTAGCAGTTGACAACCTCTATCCACCGCCAGGATGGGAGGAGTTGACATGAGCCGCGACTATTACGCGGACCTGGAGCTTCCAGCGAACTCCGACGTGAACGAGATCAAGAAACAGTTCCGGAAACTTGGTACGCCGACGTCTTCCCCGTCCGTTTCTCCTCGTCCGGCAAACTGACTTCTGCTAGCTCTCAAGTATCACCCCGATCGAAACCCGGGTAGAGAGGCCGAAGTGAACTCCAAGTTTCAGATGATTCAGTCGGCCCACGAGGTCCTGACCGATCCCGACTCGAGAGCCAAGTACGACGCTGGAAGAACACGATCGAGATACCCGACTGCTTCTGGAGTGAGGGGCAACCCATGGCAGAACGCCGGCTCCAACTTCCCGCCTCCGCCTCGTCGTAATGCTACCTCCACGGCTCGTAATCCGCCGTCGTCGGGAGCGAATAGGTACCGCAATTTTGCCTCGGGTGCAGCTCCCACGGCCAAGGCCCAGCAGCAGAGTGATCCAGAGGCGAAACGGAATGCCTGGCATGCCTTCGAGAACATGCGGGGCAAAGCGAGCCAGTCTCAACCAAAGCCCAAGAACGAACCCCCGGAGCCCCCTAAGCGACCTGTGCCACGAACACCCTCCCAAAAGCAGCGAGCAGAGGCTGCATTTGGAGCACGCAAGGGAGGTTATGTGCCTCACTCGCCTGTTCCTGGTGACGAACCTCCGGTCAACGCCTCCAATTACTCCACGACCAACCGTCACTCCAACATCTTCGCCGACAACGCCCGCAGACAAGGTGTCCCAGACCCTCTTGCCCAATTCCGTGAGGGCTACGCAGACAGTCGGCAGAGCACACCTTACTCCTCGCACGGAGGAGAGAAGACAAACCCGTTCGATGGGGTGCCCATCGGACGAGCCAAGAGCACTCGTGAAACCCCTCGGCAGCCCGAGGAAGCGTTCGGGCCTAACCTATCACCCGGAAGCGCTCGTCAACGTGCACAGAGTGTTCCGCGCCAGGCCAGAACTGAGCCTTCAAGCCCTCGAACGTCCTCGACGCCACAAGACGACCGACCGAACACCGCGACCGCTACAGCAGCTAACTCCCCCAAGGACCCCTTCAGATCCAGAGCTAGCGCGAGATACACGCCGCCGAATGCGAACCCTGGCTTTGCTCAAGATGGCGGCCACCCCAAGCCAGCAACGGCTACTGATGGTGAGCTTATGATTGTTGATTTCACGGAGCTCAGCTAATGTAGTCCAGAACATGGAAACACCAAGTCTGCAGGAAAGCAACAGGCATCTTCAATGTACGGCACTTCTCATTATTCAACTTCTTCTTTCGCTTCATATGTCAAGCCGACCTTTACATACGGCAAGCAGCCTTCGCCCGTGATTTGGGAGGAGCCGACGAAACAGCATCAGAGCCAGAAAAGCGAAACGTCGTCCTCTGCGTCATCTTCTCCTAGTGGAGACAGCTTGAGAAGTCACTCCCTTACACCATTTGAGCGCAAGCAGGGCGAGCTTCTGAGTAGGCTGGTTAAGAGACAAGCTCCGGAACTAACCCCGCTTGGACGCGAGAAGCGCCAGATCACCACTTCAAAACAGAATCCCAGTCCAGTGCATCAAGCTGACAGAAGTGACTCTACTAGCTTCAACTTCTCCATCGACGATGATACCTTCACTCGTACCGAACCCGAGCAACCTTCAATCAGCCGGCGAAGCACAGACGATATTAACACCAGGTTTGTCAACAACGATGGATCTGAGGCCTACCAATTCAGTGCTGGAAGCCCTGTTCATGACGCCAAGGGCCGTTCTCAGTCTGGAAGCCGTGTAGGTCGTCGATCACCGATTAAGCGTCCGACCTTGCGACACCAGAAGGACTTTGCCGGTCAGCCGACAGGATCGCCCTCGTCCGAAGGTAAATTTGATGCTCAGGACTGGACCCAGCAGATTGGCGCCCAAAACTTTGCACCGTCTGTATCTACGTCCCCGACACGCACCACTCGATCCAACTCCCGCAAGGCGAAGGTGAAGCCCACGGCTGGTAGCGCCGGCTTGGTGAACGATGAATATGACAGTGATGAGGATGGTGATTGGCGAGGCCGCAAGACTACTGCAGAGCCAGTTGGCGCGAAGAGCCCGAACGCCATGGATATTGATCCTCCACAGGCCGGAGGCGCTCCAAATGTTGCTCAGTCCAACGGCGCGAGGAACATCCCAGTTGAGCCATCTCGCCCGGAATGGAGGCCTGGTAACGTCAATGGAGTGACGGAAACCGCACCCAAGTCTACAGTGCGGAAGCCTGACTTCAACCCCAACGCCGCAGGCTCAGAGGACAGTGAAGAGTTTAGGGCCAGCTTTGCAGATCTCAAGAACGTGGCGCCGTTTGCGCAAACTGCTTCCGGTCTTGGTTCCTTGGGTGACCTCAAGATGAACCTTCCCTTCGAAAGCCAGCCATCTAGCAGCATCCCTATTGAGAAGGAAAAGAAGCCGGCACTTGAATTTCCGGTGGTCCCTGTGGCACCGCGCCCACCTCCTACATTCGCGGTCGGTCTAAAGCCAACGGGCGGTGCTTGGCAAAAGTACATCCAAGATTTTCAAAGCTATGTTCTTAGATGGGAAATCTTCAACGCTCAGGTTATCGAGCATTTCAACGCCCGCAAGACAAACATTGCCGATCTTCGAGCCCGCAAGGGCTACGACTTCATAGCCTCTCGTGGCGACGACGAGCTGATGGAGTACCTCGACTGGATGCAACAGGACAAGGAGGTGCGGAGAAAATGGGCTTTGGCATGCGAGGACCACGAAGCACGCATTCGAGAGTTCATGCTATATAAGAGCAAGATGAAATGAAGAATGACATGGAGAAGCCATGTCTCGAGAGGAGTGGATTGTATTCTTGTTCTCTGCCTAGCAGATGGGCTTTTTTTCGACTTTGACGACAGCTTGGACTGATGGGAAACGACACGAAACGATACCCGGCATTTGGGAGGATATTATTCACGCTTCGACCTGTCTCTCACTTCTTGCGACTGAAAAGTCCGCATTGCACATACGTTCGGTCGTCGACGTGCGGCGACAATTCATTACGACATAGACAGGGAGTGTGTTGCCTGTGTACACTTCATATTTGCTTTACATCTCGCAGTCTCCATTCTTCGCCTTCGTTCCTGGGTTCCTCAATTTGATGGAGAACGGTTGCGCTACCCTGGAAACTCAAATATGGCGATGATACGCCGGGCCCTTGGTTGTTCTCTGCCTAGGCTAGCTTGGAATGGGTCGTGTAATACTTATTAGAAACTTGGTCGTCTTCGAAGGATGTTGGAGGCAGGATTGGTACTCGCGGGCAGCCAGATAGGAAGGAGACACATAGAAATTAATGCCATAGAATCAGCCCTGCGTTTGCGCTTCATGTCATTGTCAGGCCCCGGCGAACTTCATGTTTCCGGCTGTTGGTTCGATGTGTGTGTCTGGCACCACAGCAAATCTTGTTGAACCTGTTGCTTCTACAGGCTAGAGCCATCGAGTAATTTTTTTGAGACTTTCTACCTCTAGTGACGGCGTTCACGCCATTTTGAATCTCTTCATCATGCCCTATCTGTCCTATGAAGCTGGCACTCCGCAATTCAGGTTAACTGATTTCCAGCTTTCTTTTCTCCAATGCCACTAAAGTCAATACTTCGTTGCCGAAGTTGTCCTGATCTTGGGGTCTTGCTTGCACAGACCTTTTGGGACTTCTTAACAGAAATGTGCTAATCATGCCCTCTGCCAGTTTATTGCATCTCAAATCATTGGGCCTCTCAACAAAACACAGTGTGATCACTTGACAGATTTGGCGTGACTATTTCGGCTATGCCCATGTCTTGTGCATTATCATTTCTGACAACATTTCAATCAAAGGCAGTGATTTATTTCTTGAACCTGCTCATTAGAAACTGGAAGTTTCCCGTTCGGTCTTGGTGCTTCTTGCCTTTATTTAACACCCTCTTGCCTTGCCTAAGTGCTCTTTGATGTGAAGCGGTCAATTATCTCGAGTTAGGCTACAGAACCACTTCCAAAGAATGTAAGTCACACAGCCAGTCATCTCACCTACGCAAATATTGCTAGAGACAGTCTCTGTGATCTAAGAAGCCTACGTGTATCATGCCCCTTGCCTGGCAGAGGCAGGTCTCAACTTTGATTGGCAGATTGCTCGCGTGTAGGAGTGTAGGAGTATACTGACCGTGAAACGAGTGGCAGTTGCCCTCTACCCTTTCGACTCAATCCTCGCCTTAAAGGCACCCAAAGTATTCCCGTCTGTCTAGATGCCTGCCTCTTTCTCTCTCTCTCTCGGGGAAGCTACAGTCTCAAGCCCTTCTCGCCTTGTGAACTTCTTGTCACCACGATGCCAGTCAACAACCTGCACAGCGAGAGCAGCCTTGGATCATGAGACCCGCCTCCTTCCTCCTTCCTTCTAGAAAGCTGAAGCAAGCTGCTTTTGTTACTCCTCTTGTATTTAAATCCCTTCCTTCCTCTCGGGTCCTCTCCAAACTTTTCTCCTCGCAACACCATCACGGTTCACCTTTCCCACGCAATCTATCCCACCAAACCTCTAGCTATCCAGGATTCAACTACAACCTACCATGGCTGACTCAAAGAACGCCAACACTGCCACTGCCGACGGTGGCGAGGGTTCCGGTGCTCGCGCTGGCGCCTGGACTGAGGCTGAGAGAGTAAGTTGGGCCTCTATTCCTCCGTCTCAGTCTTCGTCTTCATCTCTGGATCGAGTACTGATAGTCGTCTTCAGAGCCAGCTCCTCTTGCGCGTCCTAGCTAGCGTCCTCCCTGAGGGAAAAGGTGTCGACTGGAAGAATGTCAATATGCCTGGCCGTACGCAGAAGGCCTTGCAACACCAGTGGACCACCGTCCTGGCCCAGATCCGAGACCTCAACATTGGCGGCGACGGCACTGCCACTACTCCAGCCAAGCCCCGTGCTGGTAAATTTTCTCGGTCCTTTGAAAGTACCATTGCTTACAGTCTACAGCTCGAAAGAAGACGCCTAAGAAGGCCGCCGGTGCTGCCGATGGCGAGGGCGGCGATGAGGCTAACGAGGGCGACGAGGACGACACCCCCGTCAAGACCCCTAAGAAGCGTGGCGCTGCTACCGCTGGTGGTAAGTCTTCATTTACTTTTAATCACAAATTCAAGCAAGCTGACTTGGCGAGCAGAGGGTTCGGCCAAGAAGCGACGCGCTCCCAAGAAGAGCACCCCCATGGTGGAGGATGACGCCGACAATGAGGGCGGCGAGGCCAAGGCCGAGGAGAACGTCGAGGAGGAGCAGTAGACGAACATCGTCCTTTCCGGATAGGGTGCCTATGAATGACCGGAAAGTAGGAAGCCACTGAAGCTTATCAGCAGGCGATCTTTGGGTTGGAAGGACCTTTTGGTGATGACTGGTCTACGTGGTCCTTTTTGAATGAGCTTCGTGATGCGCGAAGCGTTATCTTGCGGATATGGAACACAGGCTTAGTTTAGTCACACTTCGTCAAAGGTTGCGCCCACAAAATCAGAAGAGGAATGAGCGCACAAAACGATTGCTGACTTCGTGTCTGTGAAAATGTTGATCGCCGGGGTGGGCGTTGATGGAGGCGAGAGTGGTCGCCCAGCCGTGGAGGGGACTTGCGTCTGACGAATCAAACGGGCCGAGGCGGTCTCCAGATCAAGGTGTACCCCAGCTGGTCATTCGTGCAAGCAGAATGTGAGACCTGCATATCCATCCAGTCTGGATAGCTGCCCCTGATGGTGTGCAGTTGGAGAGCATGATCCATCACCGTCCCATGTTAGCTGCGGCCAGGCACACACCAGTCGACGTCCTTCTGTCATGATTGTTAGGCGGGACGTTGCCGCGGAGGCAGGCCTGCTTAGCGAAGGCTACAGGGCGTGGGGAGGGTCGCTAGTGTCACATTACATCAGCAGCCGGGGCAGGGGGCAGACAACCCACCCGGGACATGCACCCTCTGCACCCATATAAGCGGGCTCTTATGCATCTAGCCTGGTGATCTGGATTTGGGTGGTGGCCACATCCTGTTTGCTTTCCCGTTTTCTCGCATCCCGAAATTTTTCGACGGCCGACAAGACTGTGTTCGCCTGCTTTGTTTCATTGTCTCTGGCTCAAGGGGGTATCAAATTGCATCAAAGATTGAGCCGCAGTGAATTGAGACCGTCTCCCTGCCGAGCCAGGAGTTCGATTTCCAAACGCTTCCAGTCGCTCGCTGAAGGTCTTCCCCCTCCAACGGGAACAGGAACTTGCCAGCAGCCTGTGAAAGGCTTGCCTGCCGCCGCCATCCTTCTCAACACTGGATGCGCTCCGTCTTCGTCCGCAGAGGGACTGTGACTTCCTTGAATCTTGCATCCACAACCACCGCAACCATCCCGGTCACACCTTGGACAACCTCCTCTACCCTCGCATTCAACCAGCTGCTCAGACGCCAGCACCACCAGCTCCCGCTCGCCAAACACGGCTGCTCCCGCACTACTCTGGCCCTTTCTTCCAGAGACATCTGCTATAAGACAACGCGACGAACCGTCCTTGGCCAGTTCCACCTTCCCTTCTCTACCAACTCGTCCGCTGCCGGCGCCGTCGTACCTGACCCTCCGTCGACCGCGCTGCAAAGCCAACCCTCCAATCCATCAACACCTACCTCCCCCATCCCAGAAATGAACGGCACCAACGCGTCTCCGCGCTCCAAGCGCAAGGCGCCCACGAGCCCCGAGGGCCTGCGACCGCACAAGCAGCATCGCGCCGTCAATGGCAAGCTTTCTGCTGGCGACAACACTCCCGAGATCGAGCTTGAACACTCGGCTTTCGTTGAAGAGGACTCTGGCATGGAAGACAGCGCCATGATGGGAAGCATATTCCCCATCTCCCAAGAGCCCGAGGCATGGCAGAAGACCATTGAGAACGTCGTGAGCAACGTCGTCTCTATTCGCTTCTGCCAGACCTGTTCTTTCGACACAGACCCGGCGTTGACCAGCGAGGCGACTGGATTCGTGGTGGACGCACAGAAGGGGTAATACTACGTCATGACACCACCCAAGATAGATCGAGGCGGTTTGCTGATTCTATGGCCCAACAGATACATCCTGACAAATCGACACGTCGTCGGATCCGGTCCCTTTTGGGGATACGTCGTTTTCGACAACCACGAAGAAGTCGATGCGTACCCAGTCTACCGCGACCCCGTCCACGATTTCGGTATCCTGCGATTCGATCCCAAGGCCGTCAAGTATATGAAATTGAACGCGCTGCAGTTGCGACCGGATCTTGCAAAGGGTAGGCAGACACCCTGATGGGCGACGCATTTTTAAAGTGGAGGCACTGACGTATTTTTAGTGGGTGTCGAGATCAGAGTCGTTGGTAACGATGCTGGAGAGAAGCTCAGTATCTTGTCTGGATTCATCAGTCGGTTGGATCGCAACGCGCCCGAGTACGGCGATGGCTACAGCGATTTCAACACGTGCTACTACCAGGCCAACGCCGCCGCGAGTGGTGGCAGTTCCGGCAGTCCGGTGGTCAACATCGATGGTTTTGCCGTTGCGCTGCAAGCTGGTGGACGTTCCGATGGCGCTTCAACAGATTACTTCCTGCCCCTGGACCGCCCATTAAGAGCCCTGCAGTGTGTCCAGCAAGGCAAGCCCGTCACGAGAGGTGACATCCAATGTCAGTTCCTTCTCAAGCCCTTTGACGAGTGCAGACGTCTCGGTCTTACCGCCGAATGGGAGGCTGCTGCTCGCAAGGCCTTCCCCAAGGAGAACAACATGCTTGTTGCAGAAATTGTGCTTCCAAAGGGACAATCCGACAGTAAGATCGAGGAGGGCGACATCCTCATCAAGGTGAACGGAGAGATGGTCACGCAGTTCATTCGTTTGGACGATCTTCTCGACTCCAACGTTGGCAAATCTATTCGCCTACAAATCCAGCGAGGTGGAGAGGATATTGAGGTTGATATTGACGTCGGCGACCTGCACAAGATCACTCCTGATCGATTTGTTTCCGTTGCCGGCGCCAGCTTCCACAGCTTGTCCTACCAACAAGCTCGTCTCTACGGTGTTGCTTGCCAAGGAGTCTTCGTTTGCGAAGCCACCGGATCTTTCAGGTTTGACAGCGCTGACAACGGCTGGTTGATTCAGAGTGTGGACCATAAAAAGACCCCTGACTTGGAGAGCTTCATCGAAGTCATGAAGACCATCCCAGACAAGTCCAGAGTTGTTGTCACATACAAGCATCTGCGTGATCTGCACACTCTCAACACGACAGTCATCTATGTCGATAGGCATTGGTCAGCCAAGATGAAGATGGCGGTCAGAAACGACGAGACAGGTCTGTGGGACTTCACTGACCTCGCCGACCCCCTTCCTCCCGTTCCGCCAGTCGCCCGCTCAGCGTCCTTCATTCAGCTCGAGAATGTGAAGCACCCTGCCATTGCTGACCTGGTGCGAAGCTTCGTGCATGTCAACTGCACCATGCCTGTCAAGCTCGACGGTTTCCCCAAGAACAGAAAATGGGGCATGGGTCTGGTTATCGACGCTGAGAAGGGTCTCGTCGTCATCTCCAGAGCCATTGTGCCTTACGATCTTTGCGACGTGACCATCACCATCGCTGACTCTATTATTGTCGAGGGCAAGGTGGTTTTCTTGCACCCACTCCAAAACTACGCCATCGTTCAGTATGACCCGAAGCTGGTCGACGCCCCTGTTCAGAGTGCTAAGTTGAGCACCGAGAACATTTCCCAGGGAGCTTCGACCAACTTCATGGGATACAACAGAATCGGCAAGATTGTCCACGCCTCAACGACTGTCACGGAAGTCACCGCTGTGGCGATCCCGGCCAACTCTGGCGCGCCCAGATACCGTGCCGTCAACGTTGATGCCATTACTGTTGACACCAGCTTGAGCAACCAATGTGGTAGCGGTGTCCTCGTCGCGGACGACGGAACCGTTCAAGCCCTTTGGCTCACTTACCTGGGCGAGCGCTCGCCGTGCTCTAACCGCGACGAAGAGTACCACCTTGGACTGGCCACCCCCACTTTGCTCTCTGTTGTTTCCCAGATTCAACAGGGTCTCGTCCCGAAGCTGAGAATGTTGTCGGTTGAGTTCAGGGCCATTGGCATGGCCCAGGCCAGAGTTATGGGCGTCTCTGATGAATGGATGACAAAGGTCACCGAAGCCAACAAGACACACCACCAACTGTTCATGGTTAGCAAGCGAACTTTTGAGCGTGACCAGCAGTCTGGTGCCCTGTTGGAAGGTGACATTTTGCTCACTCTCAACGGCAAGGTCATCACCAAGGTTTCCGAGCTCGACATCATGTATTCTCACGAGGTCTTGGACGCTGTCATTGTCCGTGACTGCCAAGAGCTTCACATCAAGGCTCACACCGTGGCTGCGGATGACGTTGAGACTGATCATGCTATTTCTTTCTGCGGAGCAATCCTGCACCGCCCTCACCATGCCGTCAGACAACAGATCAGCAAGTTGCACAGCGAGGTCTACGTCTCGGCTCGCACTCGAGGTTCGCCCTCGTACCAGTACGGCCTAGCGCCCACCAACTTCATCACCCACGTCAACGGAAAGTCTACGCCTAATATGGAATCTTTCCTTGCAACCGTCCAGAAGATTCCAGACAACACCTGTGAGTGTCCTCCCAGTATCTACCTAAAGTCAAGACTAACACAGCAGCAGATTTCCGCTTGAAGGCCGTCACTTTTGACAGCGTGCCGTGGGTTATCACCATGAAGAAGAACGAGCACTACTTCCCGACCATGGAGTGGATCAAGGACCCTTCAGAGCCCTGCGGCTGGAAGAGAAAGACATACGAGGGAGGTGAGGTGTTTGAGGGCGAGGGTCCCGACGGGATCGTTGCCAACACCGAGGATGCAGAGATGGTCGAAGATCCCGCTCCTATCTGATCAAGCATAGGATGGTGCGAACAACATCGGACAATTACGACTTCGGAAAGACCCTCGTCAGGCTCAACGGCGACTCTGCATGTTCTTTAGCTCTGCACCCACGATGCTGAGCACTTTTAATGGTCCTTTTTATGTACGATTCGGAAGAGGGGCAAACAACATACCATGGGAAAATTCTGGACAGGGCAAGGCTGGGGGATTCAAGGGCATGGGCGCACGCACGGCCGTGAGGACAGCATCTAGCTGGTGTCTTGTATGTACATAACAGGAAGGGGAGCCGCCAGGTCACCTCTTGAGGGCGCGACTCCTGCGTCTGCATCTCTTTTTCTTGTTCTACATTCTGTTCAATACCCGTTAGACTTCATTGAAAGTCTCATCTTTTCGCTTACATCTATCATACACATGCTCATCATCACTGACCAATATAACCCCGCGGGAACAATGGGCAACGTACGTGTGCCCTAATAATGGGCTTCTCAATGTAGTATTACAGAAATATTGTACAGCTACACAACCGACTCATCACAGATTCTTGTGTGCATAACTCCGTTTTATCGAGAACCGGAGTTCTTTCCTCAAATTTCAATCCGCGTTGTTCTGCCACACTTCGCCACACACGACATGTTTTAGGACTGAATTCAAAGAGGAATTGAGCCTCGAATAAGATCTCGGCTATCCCGCTTAGCACTTCAGAACGAAACAAATACCCCCACCCTCGAGTGCCTGCCCATATTTCCATAATTTGGAGGTTAGACATGTGCATGGCTGTTGCAGCTGCACTACAAAACATTGTTTCTGGTTGTTCAGGGGATTTGGACCTCAACGTTATAGACTTCATCCTTGACTACGGCCCGTACGAGGACGCTATTCGGAAAAATTTGTGTGCTTTGAACACGTTTGATGCGTCAAAAGCCACGAGAGAACGCGCGTGTTGGGCCACCACAAGCGCGAGAGATTCTGTGTCTCGTTTTCCGAAGAACGTGTATCGGTTGAAATTCTTCTCCTCCCAGAGTTGAAGCTTTTTCACCGTTCGCGGCAGCATTCTAAACAATGTTTTGATTGCCGAGATCCGGACGATGTCGTCTGCGATATCAACACCGCGTGATGGCTCATAAACTATCTCTTCGAGGTTGGGAAGACACCGGAATACATTCATTAGAGCGCCTGATGACAGGCTTCTCTAAAATCTGCGGCTGATCACGAACTTCTTTATCACTCGAATTCCCGGGATTGTGGCTCGGTTGCCGACGTCGAAATCGAGCAGGTTTCCAAGTCTTCGCCGCTGAGAACCAACATATTTCCGCTCTTGGGTGAAGTAAGCCTTGTGAAAACTAGGGTCTGTCCATGAAAATTGTCCGGCAATCAACCGTCCAAAGCAGTGACTCGTATCACTTGGGGATGCGGCACTCAGCTCAAGCGTAAGATTCTGTTTGATATCCCGCGTTGAGAGAATGTCGAGAAGCTGTGAAAGACGCGTGCTGAAGGTTCTGCTGTTCGCTGCCGCTTCTGCGGCGCTCTCTTCCGTTCGACAAATAATGCAACTGTATGTCCACAACTCTACATGAAGCCAAATCAATTGTAGAGGACTTTTTCGCCTTCCAGTCACCATTCGGTCAAACCAACGTATCTCGGAAAATGACTTGAGTTTTACGTTGGTGCACATGATTTTCTCAAAGAACTCTCGCCATTGAACACAGACTGTGGATAGCTTCTGGAGTGATCCGGCATGACTGGCAGTCATCTCCTCAGTATCATCAGCCGGAACTGGTTCTTTTGAGATCTCAGCCCGCGGCGACTGGGGTCTATTCGTAGTCTGCGACGTGACGCATCCCTCGTGTTTGCAGACTTGCTTTTCTGGGGCATCGTTGCCTTTTTCGTGATCCTTTTGGCTGTCGTCGCGATGATCCAGAAGTATTGTTCGTCGACGCCGGTGCTATCCTGGGACGGAGCTTCATGTTAGATTTTCTGTTCGAAACAGGAAGAGATGAGTGTGGCGGTTTGAACGTCCCGAACTGAGACGAATGGTAAAAGTGCAGAAAAGTCTGTCTCTTATATCTGGTCATATCTGCCATCCAGGTGCGTCCCACACAATATTTGGCCGAAATGTCATGTTAGAGACGACTTGAGGTAACCTTGATTATCAGAGGACCCAAGAGGTAAAACAAAACCCCAAACAAATAACTACGAGCTGGAGTAATCGATTAGTTCGTCAGGTAGGGGCAAATGCATGTGGGAATCACACAGAAAAATGCGCGTCAAGTTTGACGCCGGTCTGTAAGACAGACTGGGTAATGCTTCCATCACCATCACGCCCAGTCTCGTGTCAAGCTATGCATAATAGCAGGTCAGCGTCGGGTGTTAGTCGGTGCTGCCTCCGGCCCACGGCTTACAGCGGTACGCTTACCCAAAGAGGAATACAATGTGGTCGGAGCTGTGGAGTCCTATGTCCGGGACAATGCCGCCGATCCCATAAGACCTGCTGAAAGTCCCCAGTATCGTCGTCGTCATGAAATCCTTCCTTTGCATATCCCGAACAACCTGAGGCTGGGCAATGGTAGTGCTCCGCGCCTTCGTTCAATTTTTCCTAATTCTTTCGGCGCAACTACCATGTCCAATCAGTTCGCATTTGTCGTTGTCGGCGACTCCGGCAAGACTAGATCCGCCGACCGACCAGTCATTCGCAGTCGATGCATGCAGGGAAAGAACCGACAAGAAGGGTCTCGGAGATCTCTGCAAGCCGCGCGGAGGTCTTTGAAAACTACTGAATTATCGCAAACAGTCGAACATGAACGAGGCTCCCGGTCCATCCCGTCCAACTCGTCTCGGCCTCCAACAGATAACCCTTCAAGAACGAGGAGAGCTAGGAGATATCGACAACCCCCAACCACGGAAGACAGCTCAGAGGACGACCTGATCGCCGTGGAAGTTCCGACGCCTTCTCTACCTCCCACCGACATATCCCTGGTCCGTTTCGCAGATGACTTGGAGAGGCCTTCCCAAGAGGTTCTCTTTAGATGTAAGCCAACCCAAACGAGTCGAAAGGGATCCAGAACTCATTATCTTCAGTATTTGCCTCTGCCACCCTCAAGGAGACCTTCTACCCCGTCGAACACGTTGTCAATCTGCCCCGCTCCCCGAATTCGGAAGCGTTATCCTTTTCTTGGATTTTACAGGATCAGATCTTTCTCCACAGCATCTTGTTCTGCTCCTCGGCGATTCAAGACCGTACAAAGTACGCGCCTTCGGGAAAGCTTACGCAATTCCACCTCCGACGCACCATCTCTCTGCTCAACCACTCCCTGTCCCAGAAGAACTCGCACGAGAACGAGGCCATCTTTCATGTCATCCTGACACTGGCAATGATCGCGAGTTTGTGGGAAGACTTTGACTCTGCTGCTGTACACTTGTCAGGGCTGCAACAGATCGTTCGTTTACGTGGGGGACTTGAATACCTTCATAGGTTTCCCAAGTTGCATTTCAAGCTTGATCGGTGAGTCTATAACGAACCGTAAGGGCACTAGAGGGCGAATCTCTGACACTGGCCAGGCTTGCTCTCACGTGGGCCCTTGGGAGCGGAGGTATTCCGTCCTTCTTCACAGGCCCTGTATCGTGGAGTCCATACTTCGAAACTCTCGAAACTCGCACAAATAGCGGCGGCGTAGGTCTGATTGAAGTGTTCGCCGATGCAAGACTTGCCGTAGTCTTTAGGGACCTCAGACACCTGGTATGCTTAGTCAACAACCGCTTGGCAAACAACTCGCGGCTAGACGGCCTGATATTTCAAGACTGCCTGGAGTCAGTCCAGGCACGCCTCGTACACCTTCAAGGTGGCCTTGAAGATGCCTCAGATGAGTGTCTTCGTCTAGGCATGCTCGCATTTCTTTCAACGACACTACAGATCCCGGGCGGAAAGTTCCCGTACGCATACCTTGCGGCTAGATTCCGCATGGCATGTCAGAACTTCATCATACGGACGCCGGTGCACGAGCAACTGCTGTTCTGGATGCTCATCGTGGGCTCTATATCCGTCTTTGAACCTGACGAGCCATGTTTGCGGTCAATCTGGTTCACACTAGCATATCCAAAGTTATCGTGGCATGAGGCTCGTTTCACTTTGCAGACCATCATGTGGATAGATAGTATGCACGGGACGATGGGCCAATCCGCTTTCTCAAAGGCACGGCAGCTGGGTGACGGAGCCACCGAGGCGATTCGAGAGCCTTGAGTGGCTAATTTGTCGGAATAGTCTGCACAAAAGGGTTAGAACAGATATGCAATAGCGTAGAGCAGGGTAAGATGGTTGTGAAGCCACAGATTGTTTTCCTCCGACTTGCGGGATGAAAGCCGCGGAAAGCAATCCATAGCTGAATCCCACCTGGTGGATCTGTCAACGCGACAGGGGACGTGCCCTTAGACCCGCCCATGCGTCCCGCAGCGCGGAGACGGCAATTACTTTTTCCGGTACCAGCCAGCGTCCGTCCCCCAACTTCACCTCTGAATCTGGGGGCGGGCCCTTGTCACCTAATCAATCCACTGTTGCAGTTGCTCACCTTAACCTCACCTCTGGCACCAAGTTGACCAGCCCGTTCCACTCTCAACACCGACGCGAATCCTTTTTCTTGGTGACACTGCATCAAACATACTCAAACCCAGCACAAATAACAGCATTCTCAAAATTTTGGAAATTTGCTGTCTCGATAACGATTCAACCACCTACCAAATCCACATCGCCGAAGCTGTTCTCGAACCTTCAAGATGTCGGACTCAAAGAATGACAAGGCGTATAAATATCGCCAGGAGATCAGTCAGGTAAGCTTTGAACATTATGCCGTTTGAGAGCCACTCTATCGCTTTGCTGGGCAACTATCTCGCTTTGACTCTCTTGCGCACACCAACAAACATCGACGCCCCAGACCCCCAGGCTTGCTGGCCTAGCCTCGTGATAGCTTGTTCCAATATGTCAGGTTCCAAGGATATCAACAGCTGCTTCGAAGAGCTCCTGGCTGCAAGTGCAGCGCCGTCAAGGCGTCCAGCCAGTCTGGTCAGCTGGACAAGCCTCACATCCTGACAATGTCTCTAAGGAGACACCTGCCTTGACTACTCAAACACGACGCCTAGCTGCTTCCTGAAAGCTTCAAACACTATCTTCCTCCTACTTTTGGAACACACACCCTCCAAAAATCCAACACATACTCGAAAATTCTCTCAAAAACTCAGAAATCACCAACTCGGCGACATGGAGCGGCTCAAAAGCTTCGGGTTTCCCTACTACCTTCCGGATGTCGGGTGTCACTTGAGAGACCTTGTCAGCGGTCTTGAGATGGCAACTGGCGTTTTAGAGCAGCTGAATCCCGACGATGGCAACAGCGAGGTCGAGGGACCTGAGGAGAAACCTAAGCCCCTGCGCCCCTCCAGAGCAACCAAGGCAGTTTCCGAACGCGTTCAACGCGAGTCCTATGAGCTGTTTCAGAGCGCCTTCGACCAAGCGGTCGGCGTTATTCATCCATCTGGTTTCAAATCCATCTATGACATCCCCGTCACCAATGAAGAGCGAGCCGAGCTTCAGAAGCCCAGGCCCAGGCGTCGTCGAGCTCCCAAACATCGCCCTTTGCCCACGCTAAAGGAGGGCGAGAAGCGACTTTATGGAATTCACGAGCGAATCACTAACGTTTTCCGAAAGATGATGTACGTCTCTGGCGAGACTGCAGAGCCGTCCGTCGAAACTACTAGTATGATCGAAGACATCGTTCGTCAGCAGGTTATTGAGCTGGTATGTTGAAGCTTTTACCCACTTCCGGCGCTACCACCCTGACCCATTGCTAGCTTAGAAACTGCACAGACCTCGCTGCTCGTCGTGGTTCTCGATCAATCACTATCAATGATTTGATTTTCCAGATCCGCCACGACCAAGCCAAGGTCTCCCGCCTGCGGACCTTCCTCTCATGGAAGGATGTTCGAAAGAACGTCAAGGATTCCGACGACAAGGGAGGTGAAGCGGATCTCGGTGCCGGCGAAGACCCTGCTGGCGGAGTGATGCCCGGTGGCCCCGTCGATGATGCTGCAAAGAAGAACAAGAAGGCCAAGGTCGGCCTTCCCTGGGAGCCGTCCTCATTCTACAGTCAAGAGGTCCCCGAGCGTGACGATGAGGAGGATGAAGAGGAGGAGGAGATGAACTTCATCACCCTTCAGCGTCTTCGAAAGGCTGATGAGCGTACCAAGGCTATGACCAAGGAGGAGTACGTCACCTGGTCCGAATACCGCCAGGCCTCCTTCACCTACCGCAAGGGCAAGCGCTTCCGCGAGTGGGCTGGTTTTGGAATTGTCACCGACAGCAAGCCTTCTGACGATATCGTGGACATTCTCGGTTTCCTGACGTTCGAGATGGTTCAGACCCTCACCGAGCACGCCCTCAAGGTTAAGGAGCAGGAGGACTTGTTCAAGGCACTAAACGGAGGCGACAATGCCGGCTCGAAGAAGCGCAAGGTCGCGACTGGTCTCTTCGACCCCCCTAGTGAGGGTAGATCCCCGATCGAACCGCGCCATGTTCAGGAGGCTTTCAGACGTCTCCAGCAGCGCCCCAAGAAGACCAGAGCTATGCTCAATGGCTCGAGACTGCCCCAGCACACGGCTCTCAACATTGTACGTTTATCTGCAATGATCGTGACGCACTATGCTGACCTGTCACCAGTTCTGATTTTTTTTCTTTCCTGAACGAACACGAGCAGACACAAGTACACAAACTGGCTTTTCAATTTTTAACCGTCAATTTCGCGGTTGAGCTTTCTTACGACACGATGTAAAGATACCCACGGATGGGCTGAATGACTTTGGCGTTGGTGGATCATACTCGCATGCATTTCAGCTGGCGTCCGGGACGGACTGGCCAGGCTAGGCAGGTTTACATGGCAATTCAAGAATAAGATAAAATCATGTCGATCCTCAAAGTGAAAACAACATGGAATTGTCAATGACACCGAAATGCATGACATATGTAGCAGCCGGGATGGAGGACCCGAGTGGCACCTGTCAGTGGTAATTCCTAGGCATTCCCCTGGGCTGCTAGCTTCTAAATCCTGTACGTACCGCCGTCCGCTGCAGACCACCTATCCCTGGTCCATGCTAGGTATTTGGGCACGAACGGGACCCCGCAGTGAGGCGCGAGCTCCAGCCATCCCACCTATGTGTCGCGATTAGATAAGGCAGACAGACCCCTTCCGGAGTTCCAAGGTTGTTCCTCCGCCCTGCTTCAATTTATCTGCCTTGCGCTGCTTAAGGGTGGCGTCTTTCGCGTTCAATCCGTACTGGTCGCCATTCCCTTTCCTCCAACTACACGGACACACGCAACACCATGGCACCCTCTGTAAACGTCGTCGTGAGTCGTCCCCGCCCATTCTGCATTTACCCCGCCGTTCTGGCGCGATGACGACATGTCCAATACTAATGATCTCCCCTCCGATTAGACGAAGCTCAAGGTCCAGCTGAAGCTGGCAATCGCACGGCTGCGCATGGTTCAGCAGCGCGATGAGCAACTGTCCAAGACGCAACGACGCGCAATGGCGCAGCTCCTCGAGGTGGGCAAGATTGACTCCGCGCGCATCCGGGTCGAGAACATCATCCGCTCCGACATCACGACCGAGCTACACGAGATACTGGAGCTGTACTGCGAACTTTTGATAGCACGCGCAGGGCTTCTCGAAGGATCGACATGTGACCCTGGCTTGGAGGAGGCGGTCAAGAGCATCATCTATGCGGCGCCCAAGACGGAGATCAAGGAGCTGCAGGTCGTGCGGACGCTGCTCGCGGAGAAGTATGGCAAGGAGTTCGTGATGACAGCCATGGACAACTCGGATGGCAAGGTGTCAGATAAGGTGGTGAAGAAGCTCAGTGTCGTCCCACCCAAGGAGGAACTAGTGGTCGGGTACCTGGAGGAGATCGCCAAGGCGTACAACGTCGACTGGCCGAAACGGCCACAGGCCGCGGAGCCTCCTGACCTGCTTGACGATGATGACGACGAAGACAGCCCGAGCGGCGGTATTGGTGTCAAGATACCCGAGGGTCCGTTGGGAAATAGTACAAAGGTAGCCAAAGAACAGGAGGAGCTGAGCAAGGCGACGCCACCGAGGACGATTGGAGGACCTAGCAGCCCGTTGACGGTCACTCCGCCCAGGATGACAACGGACAATGTTCACCCCAAGGTCACGCTAAACTCGCTGGAGCTCAAGCCGAACAAGAAGATGGACGCTGCGGCGCAGAAGAAGCCGGGCGGCGGGCCGGGGGGTAACGTGCCCGATATTACGGAGTTGGAGAGGAGGTTTGCGGCTTTGAAGAGATGACGAGTTTATTACCTTGCGGGACGAGGAGTTGGCCGTCTGATTTAAGGGAATTATCCTTGGTAAGGGCATGCATATTGTGTTTAGTATTCTCTAGGCATGGCGTAGAATGGACGCGTATTGCGAGCCTGCATCGTCATGCTTCCTTTCCCTCGCATTTGGTGAGCTCTTTCCCCGATGAAGAGCCGTGATAGTCACTCCATGTTGCTGCGGCTATCTTCGTTGGCCCTATGTGGCCTAGACGTGGCTTGTTATTCAGGAGTCGGCGAAAGTGCTTCAAATACCATCAGGGAGAGACAATCCGCGACGGTGCTAAAAGACGGAGGAACTACGGAGGACAGTAGAGTCTGGATAGCAGGACTCGGTCTAACGAAGGAGGTACTGGCCTCGGTAGGCAGCATAATCGCACCTCGGGCTCCTTTGCCGTCTGGACCTTTTTTGTCTCGGGAGTATCAAACGCTCCAATGCAGTCTTCCTGTAGTCGGGCTCCTACCTGCACTGACAAAACTTCTGGTAAGAGGTCGTACTACGCGCCTTCTTCCCACCTTTCTCTCACTCACCCAACCCTCGACACCAACTTTTTGGGATCACACTACTTCACATTGGGGGCTTTTCTCTTTCAACTCTCACAAACAACAACACCTCTCTTTCTGAAGTATCCTGCGGGTGTTGAGTGCAGTTGAGTGCAGTTGACGCGCCGTTCACTCAGCCTCATTTCACGTTTGTCGCACCTTCAGCTTGCCTTCACTACACAGTCCTTGTGAAGCTTCACAAGCTGCAATGCTAACTTTTTTTCAGAAGCGCCTTCGTGCTCTATTCTATATCCTTTTCAGCTGGTTCAAGCACTTGTATCCTCGCCATGTCTCGAGACAAACTTGCTGCTCTGGACTTGACACCACGAGAATTTCAGGATGTGAGCCAGAGTCGCTTGGAGAGAAAGTTGCTTCGATCCTCGCGGCACGTCATTGACAAGCCCACGTTCCTCGGCATCTACACCAAATGGATGACATTGCAAATTCCGAGACTTGGTTATCACTCCGCCCTTGACTCTACAGTTGTTTACAGAGAAGGCTGTGACTTTTTGGCTCACGAAGGCTACGATAAGGGACCTGTTCTTGCTTCATTCTCGAGCCACCAGAATGAGTACCTGAAGTGTTTCCCAGATGGTAAGCGGGAGTTCAACTACGCCAGACGCGACATTGAGATCCACTTCAAGAAGCTGGTTGACCAGCCTCGCCGTGCTCCTGCCCATCCTGCTACAGCCACTTCCTCAACATTCAATGAGCATCTCCTGCAGACCAGAGCTCCTCCATCTTCATCGGCTTCGCAACAGCCAAATTTGCAGAGCAGGCGCTCCAGCTTCGACAAGTCTAAGTACGACGGTGTCAGTAGCGAACGCTTAGAGTGGCTCTCAGCGCAGAACGAGGAAGAGACTACATTCGTCATGCCTCCTCCTGCAGCGGTTCCAGCCGTCCCTACCGGCGACTACCTGTGCAAGCGCTGCGAACGACCGGGTACGGATGAAGACGAACCCATCAAGCCACTGAACAGCCAGCTGACAAAACCTCACCAGGCCATTTCGTTCAGGATTGCGACACGAACTCCAACCCCTCATTTGCCAGCCCTCCTCCCAAGAGTTACGTCTGTCACAATTGTGGTGAAGCCGGAACGCACTACAGGAATGCTTGTCCTGAAAAGCAACCATCAAAGGGACGTTCTCGCAAGAAATCGCAATCCTCGAAGGCAGAACCCGGACGCGGCTCATCTGCAAGGCGACCGTCTCTGTCCAAGGCTCTTGGAGGCACCCAATCGCACCAAACCACTATGGATGCTCGCGACGATCGCTTGGCTCACCAGCCTGCAGCCCCAATGGATGGACTCTTGCAGACGGCAGGTGGATCGGTGCCAAGTGCAAGAAATAGAGACCCGTCCGTCCAGCAAACTGCTCGAGGTAGCGACGGCTACATCAATGAGGACAGGGCCGCTTTCATTCAGAACTGCACTGATAGATACCGCCCGAGTGCCGACGCCGGAGGAAGCACTGTTCGGTCCGGCAGCAGCAGTACTGCTCCCATCGACGGACGTAGTGGTCGCAGTCGGCGCGACTCGAACCGCCGTCTTGATTCATACCGCCCTGAGACGAAGATGAAGCTGGAGACGGCTAGAAAGGACAGCACCAAGACCTACACAGGCACTTACACCAGTGGAGGTTCCTTGCAACATCCTCAGTCCTCTATCGCGGCCTCCGATGGTAGACTCTCTCCTTGGAGTGATATTCACACGCCGCCAACAAAGCGGGTCCGTCGTGATTCTCCTCCTCCCGCAGGTCTGCCTTGGGATGATGCCGAGCCTCTATATGAGCAGCCCAATGGCGGTCAATTCAACCAGCCGACCTCCACAACCTCTTCCCTCTCCGATCAGCAACATGCCACACAGTTCCAGCCGGTTAATCAAAACGCAATGGAGGAGGATTTCATTCCGCTTACTTCCGAAGAGGAGTGGGAGCAGGCTGGTATTGAGGCTGACGCTTTTCTTGAGAGCTTCGGCATGGAGTTGGCTTCCTACGGCTATTTTCAGCCCTCGTCGACCCCTTCCAACCGTCCGATGCCTTTCACCGGCCCTGGTGGCAACATCGCTGGACACAAGGACCTCGTCAATGAGTTCGGCCCTGATATTTCCCACAATGCCACCTTCGCTGAAACAGAGGCTATCTACAACGAGGAATCGAAAGGCAACGATGACTACGACTCGGCCTGTTCGCTGATGAGTTCTCCTGTTCAGCGTGGAGCAGTCTCTCCTGACACCGACGGTGACGTTTGCATGGTAAACGCTGCAGATGGCTCCGTTGAGACCCCAACCGAAGACCAAACTATTATGCCATACCAGACGGTAAAGCCTCTCCGGCGAGACCCTCCCTATGACCCTCGCTTCAAGGCACTTTTCCAAGGTCGGGAGCACGAGAACGTGTACGTCAACGTCGTTGGCCGCAATACGGCAATGGATATGTACGAGGACGAGGAGACGCGTGCCGTAAAGCGAATGTTGCGCCTGACAGTCAGAGACCCCGCCTCATCCAAGTCCGAAGGCTAAGGATCTCTTCCGACTACCCGAAAAGCTGAACTGATCGTTAGCAATCGACACTTGCTTCTGTTAACGGCCATGCTTGAGGCAGCAAAAATCGCCGTGTGAGCCTTATTTGCTCATATAGGCCTTTCTTTTCCTATTCTCTAAACGTTTTGCGACCTACCGACCCGACCGGCCCCCATCTGTGCGCATTCGCAACATCCGACTTCTGAGCTCGTGTCTAAGTTGATCCAGTCAATGACGGCGATACATGTCGGATGCCTCATCCGGAGGAAGATAGTTTTGACGAGCTCATAACCTTTGCGCAATCACAAGAAGCAGGTTATCAGGGTCGCTCGAAGGGTCGCGTTTCTATTCAGTGCTTCCCCGGGCCTGAAGGTATTATAGGGTGGCTGGTTTTGAGGTCTGTGCCTAAATACTACACATCTGGCATCTGGGCGCTGGATACGAGGACATACCTCCAAGTTTTTCTCCCAAATACGGGGACTTATCCCCGAGATACTCGTTCATAGCCTATGGTTTGCCCAAATTCAAAAAGTTTCCATAATTACGAGGAGAACCTACGTCGTGCATGTCGTTCTCGACTGAACTCCAGACTCCAGCAAATCCGAACTCCTTAGTCGTCATGGACGAGCCGCAGCGCTTGTCCGAAAGCGACCCATGAAAAGGTAAGCCTCCCACGTTCCCCTTGTCTTTCTTTTACCTGGGAACAAACGCTATTTCGTCCTCCGTGACGGTGCTGCACGTTATTCCAGCTTATCCAGATGCTCCAAACGCGTCAACACGACCTGTTTGCTCGTCTCCTCAATCTCGCCCGCCAAGAAGACCTCGTCCAGGATGGCGTAGACCTTGTAGAAGTTGAACACGAGGTCGAGCTCGCAGACGTTGCCGAAGAAGGCGTCGAGGACCTCGACGAAGAAGTGGATGGCCTCGAGGTAGGCGAGCTCGTTGTCATTGGTGTCGACGCAAGCGCAGAAGAAGAGCCCGGCGTACCGGCGGTACACGATCTTGTTGTTGCGGAACTCGACAAAGTTGGATTGGTACTTTTGGTCTCGGGGGGCGACGAGGCGGTGGACCTGGACGACGGACAGAGGACGTTAGCATTTCTCACACTACTTGACTGTGACTTGATGGGCTGCTGCCTACCTCGCCCTTGAGTTTAATCTTCTCGTCGTCGCTGTATGGTGCGTACCACTTTGCCAAACGGGTCTTGCCCCTGATGATAGCATGTCAGTCAGCAAGAACCTCTTTGAGTCGCAGGAGGTGTGGGCTGGGTTGCACGAAAACATACTGGCGGTTCTGGATCAAGATGAAGGACAGCATCTCTTCGGTTCGGGTATTTGCATGTCCCTGGTGGTCTTGAATGTTCTTCCTTTCCACCCCGCGCGCCGCAGAGGTTTGAGATGTGAAGTCGGCGGACACGGAGCTCGGGGGGTGCGGGTGGTACGTACCGGCCTGCCTTCCGCCGGTGCTCTGCAGAGCACCTTCCAAAGTTTCTGTTTCCCCTGGGCAAGCGGTACTGGTGGGTCCGCCTTGGCTTCAACCCAGGCAGGTGCGCACTAGCCCAAATACAGAAAGGAGGGAGCACCTCAGGGTCGCGGTAGGTACGTACCGCGGCTGATTGGGTGCCCCACTCCAGCTGCCAGGGAACAGGTATAAAATTCTCTCGACCCCCCCGCCATCTTTCGAAATTTCTCTTCTTTTTCTTCTCCATCCGAGTGCAAGGGCTTTACGCGTATCAGTGAGGATTCGTCCGAGATCGTGTTTTTGCTAGTTGAAAACTATAACTATGACCACTCCTAGTTGGCTTCGGCTGGCTAGGGAATTTTTGGAACCCTTTTATCTTCTGGATGGAGAAGACAATTTCTTTTGCTTTCATTGCTTGCGGCACCCGCGTCGGGCCGTAGTGAAGAAGGTTGATCCGTATGCGCAAACGAACTGCAGAAGCATCGAGGAGCTTGGCGTCGATGGCTACCGCCCTGTTTTGTTGCTGTCGTCCTGGGACGTTCAGCGCGATACCATCCTGTCGTTTGCGACGCGGCTGACGCGAGATTTGGCCTCACGACGTCGATGACCGCCGCCCACGAAGAGGAAGTTCCGATGCTTGTCTGCAGTCCCGTTGCATAGTTCGTGGTAGCTGAGAAAAGAAATGCGAGTTACGATGCCGTTTCTCTGCTAAGCTACCCTGTCCAACCCTTCGTACCAACACCTTGATACCTCAGAGAACACCACCAGCTAGGACCGCATACCACGTTGGAGGATCGCCAGTTCCCTGCTCATTCAGTGGACTTCCACACTTCACCCACATACATCAGACCAACACTTGGTGGGCTCTGACAAGATGATTTAATCCACATCATCGTCAGATTATCTAAGCCTGGGAATCGACGAACGAGGTTGATCTTACCGCAGTCGCATATCTCACGTACCCCTGTTGACAGCCCCATGTCTGTATTTTGGGGCACAATCTGAAGACATGCTTCCTCACAGAGCAGATCAGTGGACGAGCCTTGGGATCAAAAGGAGCTGCGAATGTGGCGCTTGCCAGAGCTTTAAGAGCGGCGATGCCGCCGGTGGGGAAGACGGTGTGCGGTTGGCGAAACCCCTTTCACCTGGAGGCCTGCGCTCACACCCGATCCGAAAGCTGGCCTCCAGAACTGTTGATGGGAGCTAAAGTGGCTACCTCATCTTCACTACTTGTATCTGCGCGGAAGGCCAGTGGGCGGAGCCTCGCCAGATTAGTCAAATCTGGGTCTGCCTCTGTCGAAAAGCCCTTCTGCTTGGTGTCTCCCGTGGGACTGAGCACATCATCGTGGTGATTTGCTGGTATTTCCTTCAGCACGGAACGGAGCCTACGAAATCAAGCAGTCGGATTCTGCCAAGTAGGTTTCGTTGTTGTATCCACTCGAAGGTATGTTTCTGGAAAATACATACCCGCAGGTGCCACAGGAGGCCAGCGGTACGGAGCCGTTGCAGCGACATCTCGTCGACGTGAAGCCTATTGCTCATTCCTATCCTCCTGCTTCGTCCACACCGGTCAAACGCAACTGGGAGAAAATCTACTATGTAACGGCGTACGCAACATGTGGTGTTATCTGAGCTCTAGCTTGCAGCGGGAACGTCGTTGCATCAGGATTACAACAAGCTGGCAAAACATATCAAGCTCGATTGCAACCCTGGCCAGCTTTGGTGGCGAGTCCAGTATTCGGGTGTATCTCACGAACGAGCTGCGGTTCAAAGCACCTTACCGACTCCCGGTATCTTCTCCCAGTTTCTTTGGTGTTGTGGGGTTTGATGCGTGCTTTTCGAAATTTGAAGTAGGCCGCCGCTTTGTTCAACATTGTCGATAAGTGAGCTAGGACAACAAATGCAAGTCTGGCGGGGAATGGAGTACAAAGCGAGGATGCAAACCCTAGCGACTGTCTACCTATGTAGTCTATTTTAGAGAAAACCCAATTCGATGGATTGCAGACCTGATTCCAACGTCGTTGCTATGATGGCTTGTGACATCGGACAGTCTTCAACAGAGCCTTCGCCCGTGAAAGCTTATTATGCCTGTTATCTACCGGCATTGAGCAGTTCAAACCCGGATCCTCTCCATCCCCAGGCCACAATATAATGGTCGGCAAGCAGCTTCCACTCCTCCACCTCATCCAGCCCCTCCAGCCGGTCAACTCTCTCCTTCTCGTCTGACGACACCCACCGTTCCCAGATCCGCTCGACTGTTAACGCGTTGGCATGCTCGAAGCCGGCGTCGCGAAGGCGTTGTTCTTGGTCCTGCGGTAACTTGTAGCTCTCCAATGTCGGCATACGAATCCGTCTTGCCGCCAGGTTGGACGTCATCATTTTGCCAAAGGGGTCATCGGGCCTGATGGGTTCGTAAATGATGATGCCGAGGTCGGGAATCTTCTGCTCGAACCACGAGATGATGTTCTTCGTTGCGGATGTTTCCAGGTAACACAGGCAACACTCAGAGATCAAGAGAGTCGGAATGTCCGTTCGGAGTCCCTTGAGGGTTGGTGCGCCGGGCTGGAAAAGCTCTCTAAGATCGCGTGCGTGGCAGTAGTAGCTGTCGGAAGCTGAAGGCTGACAGCTCCACGAACCATCGTCCTCCGATGAAGAGTTGCCGAGGATTTGACGCAGAGGGGGTACGCCCTGAACTATGCGGGCCTTCTTTCGCACCGTCACAGCAAAGTCCAGCTCATGGTAGACTAGTCCCGGCCGGTTGGTCCTGGGGAAAAGTCTAAAGGGGCGAGTGTCGGTGCCGGCGCCGAGAGAGACGATTTGCTTCTGCTTCGGCCCGTCGCCCGAACCACCGGCTTCCGACAAGAAACTGTCGACAAGGCTGTCGAGAGCAACGGTTCTCGTGTAAGTGCCTGCGCTAGAGGTCAGCCTCCATGCTCGACGGAAGCAGACCCTGGACAACACGGACCTCGGTTGATGATGGGTAGTCTCCTGGGAGGCGGTCCAGCCATGCCGTCGACGAAGAAGCGGGCGTACGGGTCCTCAAGGTATCCCACATTGACGGCGCTAAGACGTGATCCGGCGGCATCGTCGTCGGTGCTTTGGATGGTTTGGTCATGCGTCGGACCCGTGGAGGAAGGTCCGCCGCCTTGGCCGCCTCTTCCGCGCCCGCGACCGGGTCGGCCTCCCCTTGCTCCGCGGAGGGACAGCAGATTTGGGATCGCGTTGCCGGACATGGGATTCAGACGTGATTTGAGTCCGGAGTTGAAGGTGCGAACTGCTCCGAGGGGTCGATGCGGGTGACGTATGGTGGGAGTTGCGATATGGGGCATTGGAGTACAAACAGAGTTGTACCTGGCAGCTCCATGTCACCAGTCTCGGCGCACAGTCCACTTAGTCGCATCAGTGGACTGCAGCTCTTCTGCACCTGGGACTCGCTGGGTGCGCTGGACCCTGAATCAGTGGCTTGAATTGCCGTTTCAAGCCCCGCCAGGAAGCAGACGGCTTCAAGTCTCACCTTGAACAGAATTTTGCCTGCCAAGCCGGACATGACTGACAAGCTTGATGGCCAGAATGCAAATTCAGCAGACCAAACGGTTTGGCGACGGCAATCGTCATGGAAAGCCCCACGACGCGGGAAACGGCTCGAGTGGCCTGCGTGTATCGTGTAACTGCGTTGGGAAGCGAGCCGAATCCTACCGGCTGCGTCGGCGTTTGCTGATGAACGGTACTTTTTAGCTCGCCATGCCAGACGAATCAAGGCAGATCGCGGCGCGGATATGTACTTTTCCCCATTCCAGCTGACAATGATAGGGCGAGCTGAATGGCGGGCATGATGAACGTTGGGTCAGGCAATGTAGGGCGTCCAATATCTCGGACGAAACAGTGTTTCCGAGTTGTTTCTATCAATACTTGATCCCAACAATGCCGGACGAGGAAGGTTGGTCGAGAAGGCCTCCGAGACAGGACTTACTCGAACACAGTAAAAACTCAGAGTACGAGGTTTCATCCAGATTTCAGACGACGTGAACAGTTCCGCCTTGCTACAAGCGCCCGTATTCACGATGCTGTACGTACACAGTAAAACGTCTCCAGGCCAACTGGCCACAGAGCCTTGCCAATAAATCAACTTGGACGGCCGTCTGCGTTTCCGATATCGCGAGTTAGACTGATGCAATGGCCGCCTCCAACGCAGGAAACAGACATGGATGGGAATCATCCCAGCAACCCTGCCTAAGTCTGCCTGGACTCGACATCAGAAGGCCGTCTGCGCGGCTTCGCTGGGCGTTTGGAGGCGAAAGGATCTGTCGGCGGGGGGCACGGCGTGGCTGTGTCAGCCTGCTGCCTGCTAAAACTGCCCGCTACGGCACTAATCGAGGTGGGTGAGGTCGTTGTAGGGGGTGAAGGGGGGAACACATACCACACCGGGCACCGACCACTCATAGACTTTCTCTCTGAAGCAGCGCAGTGGCACTGGTCCATGGATTTAATAAACCGATCCCAGCGCCCCCAGTCTGCTTCGACTTTTGACGCCGGACACCCCTCGCCTGCCCTGTCGTTTGTTTCTTTCCTCTTTTCTTCATCATCACAATTAGGCATTATCATCAACTCGTTTCTTTTATCGCAAAACTTGGTTTATTTGATCGTCAGATAAACCGCCAAGATGATGCACCACATCGCCAGCGCGGTGTACAAACGCGCCACCGAGGGCCAGCAGCCAAACGATCTGCCCCCGTGGTCTGTTGCTGTCTTCCTCGCTGACTTCATCGTCTTCCTTCCCGTCCTTCTCCTTGTAAGCTTCCCTGCCCGGAAAAAGCAAACAGGCTCACGCGACTAACACCTTCGCAGTTGACCTACAC